GAATTCTCCCGGCGTTGAACAAGTGCTATGACAAACACTGGTCTTATCTGGGCAGTCTTTATTTTTAACAATAACAAATGGTATATTTGCCCAATCTGGATATACAGTACACATGAAAAGCCTGCACAGGCTTTTAATGAAAGAAAACAAGCTGGCACCACAGGGCAGAGTCAGCCATCCTCAGTCCACCTTAAATCAAGTGCATGGAGGTGAACTCCTCAGCTCTTCCAATCAACGTACACATCTGTGCAGTAAAAAATTCTGACATTCCTATGATTTGCACCACCAGAGATTTAAAAATATGTGTTCGTCAGAGCTGATCAAAGCCACTGCGTCGTCTTGGCCTCTTGGGAGAAGATGTGCAGATATGCCGCTGAAAGCGGACACAGATCTGCGACATAGTTCTCCCTGAGCCTGAGTGTAAAATGAATGGGTGGTCTCCTGAACACTGTATTAAATTAGCAGTGAGGAGTAAGTTGTCTTTGGCCAAATTATCCACATGCTCTTTAACATGAGGAGACGTTGAGTGTCCTTCCTGGGAGACACAGGCCAAAGCTGCAGGACTGTCTTGTCTCGTCTTGTCCTCCAGCAGGACTGTCTCATACCTTAGATGGCGTTTCTCATCTTAGTTCCAAGATGAGCTTGTCAGCTTATCTGATGTCCTGTCGTCATCTTCGGGCGATTATTTTTTATCTGCGAAGCGTGTTCCAAAGGTTAAAGAGCTATTTTTAAACATCAATTTCCTTCTTTATCTTCCAGTTTCGTGATTCAAGAGTGGTGAAGTGGAAGTATCCCCCGCCTGCCATGAACACGTTCTGGGTTTTGATACTACCTGATATTTCAGGGTTAAGAGCAGAAAGATGTTGTAGCGACTCTTAGTGGAAAACACAAGGACACAAAGAAAGTGCTCTATAATTCATCTTGTGTTTTAAAAATCCAAATCCTACTTTATTTTTTGGTTTGTTTTATGACATTTCACTTACGAGCCAATCGGCTTAGATTGGACCCTTCACTAGTTTCCTTTAATGGCGCTCATGTATTTGTTAGTTAGCCTGTTTAAATTGGTCCATTTTCATATTCTGGTTTGTTCTATTTGATCTACTTTGCTTTCTAATAACACAATTTCTCTGCCTTTTTTGGCTTTGTTTCCACCTTGAAAATATTTCCAGGTTTGACCCAGTTTCAAAATCCATGGGAAGTCAACGTTAACCCACCGATTCCCGTTGGTCGTGTCTGGGAGTTGATTTTTTTTTAACCTACATATATGTCTATTCTATTTCTTTCAGACTAAAACCCCATTTTCACCACAATCGTCCAGATGAAGTAATTACAGTGCATGTGACTCCAGAACTTTTTGCTGATAAATGTGGCGCTGTGCAGGAGACAGAATGTGAAGTTGTTAAGAGTTTATCTGCTGCCATAGCAGGACCCCCCACAGGGAAATTACAGGCCCAGTGAACCAGGGAACTCTCCTTCACTCTCTCTCTCTCTCTGTTTCCATCTCCACTCTGCTCAGGTCCACGACGGCTCCTAGACTTCCAGCTACCTCAGCAGGTTCATTAGTTTGACAAGAGTATCCACAGAACAGTCACTATTTCATGCACAAATGACAGTCAGTCTTCACTTCCACACTATTTTAATGCAGTTTCACATCTAGGTGGCACCTACCAATACTAAAAATGACTATGTACAGTATACACATATAACCACTCAGTTTAGGACAATCTGACAATAGGAGCTCACAGCACAACAGCAGGATATGTATTGAATTCAATTGTATATATGTAATCAATGTTTCATGCTGATCTGGAATTTATAATGTATATGAAATGTATAAATTATATTCAAAACTACTGGGAAAGGTGGTTTTTGGTTTTGTTGTGTGTATGTTTTAGTGCTTTTACAATAAATACAATAATAAAACTACAAACTAAAACAACAAATTTGAATATGAAAGTCTTGACCAGGTGATGGAGTGAAGGTTTTAATAAAGTTTCATCTGGTCTGTACTGAAAACCTTCAGTCGGCAAAAACAATTTTTTCTGTGGGGATGTTGACCTTGATATTTGACCACCATCAGAAAATCCATGCATCCAAATAAACATCCTTATCAAGACATTTATGGTAAAATCCCATAAGGAGTTTCAGATGCACCATCTCAACCCTTAACATATTTATAACTCTGAATAGCTCCAGTGATAATGTGGAGGTTTGCAGTTTTGTGCATATAAGTTTTGTTTGCAGTCGTGTATGTAAGTATTATCGTATAAAACAGCACAAGTACAAAGTACAAAGACGTAAATGAAAGAAAGACCTTGAACCTCAACCACAGTCCAGGTCTGAAATCACGGTTGAGAAATCTGCAATGACATAGAGTGACTTGTTCACTTGTGTGTGTTGACAAGTCTAATAGTCTGTTTTTGCTTAAACACACAAAGACATTTCAGCCCTTTGGCTTGTTGAGACTTAGAGAGTGGTGTTGAGTGTGTTAGCCAGGGATCTTGACGATGGTGTTGACGATACTGAAAATGTGTTAGACTAATTAAGTGGTTGTGTTTCACCAGCCTTTAAAGTACAATTTATCATCTGCATATACGACTGAATGTCTGTGTGTGTGTGTGTGTGTGTGTGTATGTTTATTATCTGCTATTATTCTCATGCTGTTATCAAGCACATTCATGACAAAAATTGCTTAAAGCCAGACATAAAAAGCTCAAACTTGGTTTGGAGAACCATGAAAACAGATAAAGTAAACAGCCCTATTACAGTTTTGCTGGAAGTCTCAGAAAGAAAAATAAAATCAATATCTGTGGTTTTTACAGCACAATATAGCATCCTTTGTTCTTTGAGTTCTCCTGTCAGATCACAGATCCAATCCACAGCAGGAAAAGTTTCAATCTGTATAATATTTCTACCCATTCTGAGAAAATAATGACTTACAAATGTTGCGACAGGTTTTGTCTCTGATGACACGTTTACGACCTCACAGAATACAGACACACATTTGACCAGGGGAAGTCTGGGCCTCTCGTACCAGTCATCCATGGAATTTGGCTAAAAGGATCATTTCAGGTTACAAATTGATGCTTTGTACGATTTTAACTGGCTTCCATCTGGTATAAATGTCACCGACGATGGAACACCTCCAGCAACAAATCAAATATGCAGAGTTACCAGACAAATGGCAGGGCATGTTTTATAATATCCAAACAAACAGAGACCACAAGAGATCTCTATTACCAGACACCTCCCTACTGAGCCTGAAGTGACTGTGTCAATAACACCAGGCTGGAGATAAACGCTCAGTGTTACTGCTTTCCACAACGCGGAGAGACAGGCATGCACTAACAGTGAGGGAAATTTATGTGGGTCTGAACGTGATAGCAAAATAACAAGTGCAGCAGAGGGAGACAGATAGTAAATTGTAAAGGGGGCAGATAGCAGCATTAGCTAGTTCCATTTCCCATAAGCTCTCGTGTCATCCACCATACACTCACAGTGTTCCGATTCAGGGATAAAGGCCTTCGTTATTACATTATCTGTCCTTAACAGGGCTGTGTGTGAGTGAAGTGTATCAACGGGGGGTGTGGTGGTGGTGGTGGGGGGGTGTTCGACCATTGATGTCTACACTGGGGTGTGTTTGTGTGTATGAAGGGGTTCTTACAGTAATTCATCCATATACTTCAACTTCATAATTTTGCAAACGTATGCAGTATTGGACTGTCTTTATTGACTGGTGAACCACTGTAGGTGAACCACACCTACACCTTGTGACCCCTCAGGTTGGCTCCACCCGCCCCATCCTTGGTAAAAGATGAATGGATTAGCATCTACTTTGTTATGGTCCTGGTCAGATTAAGAGAATAACCATAATTATACCATATATTACATTTAAAAGAAGAACTCTAATCAGATGTATTTACGTTATGACACTTTATGTTAGTACTGAGCTGGGAAGAGAGCAGCTTTGTTCTCATCCTGGGCCTCGGTGATCAGCTCCATCTCACTGAGGTTACTTGAGAATCAGCCAGCTGTAAGACCAACTGCAGCCCGTAATAATCAATACTCATGTAATTATAGAGGAGTGAAAGACAAGCCATTTAAAACTGCCACCACAGAGATGAGTCAGAGTGAGGGAGCCATCACAGCTCAGGACCGAGGTTCTGACATCACCTCACACCTGCCAAGTTTGGAGATCTGCTATCATCTGACCAAGTCCTTGTTTTTTTTTTTTTAACATTTCTCATTGGCTCTTAACTTCACGTCAGCAAACCCCAGGTATCATTTTTTTTTTTCCTCAGTGATGACGCATTAAAAAAAACCCCAATCCATCATTGGTCTTCACTAATAAAAGGTAAATCACGATGCGTTTCTTCAAGGGAGAAGCTTTATCTGCGCCCCTGAAATCCGATTCCAGATCAGCCCTGCTGCCTCCTGGGCTGCCAGTAACCCTGACCTTGTGAAAATTACAGCGACTATTCCCCAAAGTGTGCTCGCCTGCCTGCCTACAACTGCACGCCCGCCCGCTCCTGTCCTAATTCATCCGTGCAGGAGACGGGATCTGAGATCCACGGGAGAAGGTGGCAAAAGACAGCACGAGTAAAGTGTCATTTAACTAAAAGCGCAGTCCAGGTAGACTTCAGGGCTGTGTGCCTGTAGACCTGGAGCCGAGATACGCAAACGCTCCTCCCCGCCTGTGAACAGACTTTAACCTCCTGCCGTCATCACAGCTCTGTTCCCCGCACTTACGATCCCCCTCCACATCAACTCAATATGTTCAAACGCCGTGTCATCAAAGACCACTGGAATCTGTGTGCCTTGCAGCGGAGTTTGACCATTTATTACCGAGAGTTCATCTTCACTGCTGTGTCTTCGCGGTGCAGAGATCCACTGGAGATCCACATGCACAAACTCAGCCTTGTTCCACTGCACCAACAGCTGCACCACTCCTTGCACACCCGGGAGAACAAATAACGGAAGCGGTGTAAAGTGCAACATACCTGGTTTTTATGTCGAGTACCATCTTCGAGTTCAGAAGAGCTGTTCATGGTTCCCCATCGGTCATTTACCATCCTACGGAGAATATGCGCATTAGATCCGCCTGTGTGTTCCAGGCAAGGGAGAAAAAACCGGTGCTTTTTGAGTCTTTGTCCGTGTTTTAGACTTTCTCTGAGAAAAAACTGAATCACTTCAACGAAAAGAAAACGAGAGAGAGACAAGAACTGTTTCTGCGGTTCAACACCGCACACGCTGTGATTGACGCACAGAAATGAAAGTTAAATTCCTCTCCAAAGTCTCCCTGGTATAATCTGGTCTAAAAATTCCAATTAAAGACGCGGGATGTGTGTTTGCAGGATCCGGGGATTGGCACTTCAGTCACAAGACTGAAGTTGGCCAAAAAAAAAAAGAAGCAGAAATTGATACAGACAGCACCAGGCGCTGTCCTTTTATTCCAAAATGAAAAAAAAAAAATTCAATAATTTCTTGTAAATCTCCTCACACTGGAAAGTGCACCCAGACCTTGCAGTCCATCTAGATTCCAGGAGAGTTGGAGACGACACCAGTCCAGGCTTGGATCGTCATTAAAAAAAAGGGTAGAGACTGGATTGATGGTATTGTGTGCTTTCCTCGTCGCGGTCGCCCGATGGTCGAACAAAGCCTTTTCGAATTGTACCAGGTGGACCCCGCTGGTATTTCACAGCAATGCCTCAACCAAGGAGTGTACGGCGGGATGAGGGCGCAGCGTTGAGCTGCTGCAGCGAGCGCACGAAGTGGCCCCGATTGTCAATCAATGCGCCCCGTCAGTGCGCGCCGCGCGCTCCGTACCAGCGTTTCTCCGCATGTGCCCGCCTGCCCTCCACTGCTGAGCTGCTGCCTCCCCCTCTGCTACTTCACTCCCACCCTAGCCTGGACCCTCCTATTTCCCTGCAACCCGAACAGCGGCAGATTGTGACAAATGTGTGCTCTAATGCAAAGACTAGACGCTGTAAACTGATTTATTGTATAATACTCCCGAAGAACAGAGAGGCATTCGCTCCAGATCCATTAAAGGTAGCGGCCATTATATAGATTTCCAGAGTGAATGTTTATAGTGTGTGCACCTGATCAATCACACAGTTAATTACTGTGTATAGCTTACATGCAGTGGAGGTCCTAGCCTATGTGCCGCCCTGGGCCCAATAGCCCCCCCCCCCCCCCCCCCCCCCATTTGTTTCCACCTAAAAAAGTTCTTGTTTACATGAAGTAACTTTTTTCTGACACAACAACAAATACTTCAGTGTATTATAAAGTATAATGAGGAAGAAGCTGAAATAGTACATATAATTAAATATATACAGCCATTACATACAGATAAAACAAACTACAATGAACAATGATAAATGAAAAACGCTTGTTTGGATTCACACTAACCATCCCACCATTGTCTACTGTTTATATTCACATATATACACATATATGACATATGAATATATATATATACATATGCTTAGTAGTATCCTTGTATATGTATACATACTGATACTGATACTAATACATACTAATATATGTTAATATGTTTATGTTTATATGTAATTACTTGTGCCATTCTATTTGCACAGTATACATTCAAATTTTATTTTTCAATTTCACTTTCGAATAGTGATTTTTTTTTTCAACTGCCCATGGCACACACACAAAAAACGCTACTGCCCATAAGAGTTGACAGTCAGTGGGAGAAACCTCGATTGAGTATAAATAACTCACCTACTCATTTGTACTTTAACACATTTACATTGTGTTAAAATGTATATGTAGGTAATGAACATTCGTAGCCTTATTTAGAATTTTCTTCACACAAAAGCAAAGGTGGAAAATAACAAGGGAACAGAAAATGTGTCTTGTTTTTTTAAAAGTAGAGTTCTGTGAAGCTGACTCACTTTGGCCGTTCTTTATGAAACAAAGTCGGTTCACAAACCATTTCAAACCAATACCAAAGCCATACTTCAGTTGCAAGGCTTTTAAAATAAATGCTACAATTTTTTGCACACATACACACACAGTCATTACTGTCAATAATGGCTCAGAAGAGTGAATGTTTTTGCTCAGTGAGGGTAGTTTGATTAGAGGAGTAATCATTGGTGCGGGCACCGGAGCACGTGTGATTACTCACCCCTGTGATTTGCACAAAGAATGTGCAGTGTTGGGTGGAGGTTTCTGTGATGACAAACAAGGTGCCTGCTGGAGATGGAGTTTGTTGTCAGCAGGTGTGACATCAGTCACCATCCTGAGCCTATCAGTGAGGTCCGCCAAGCTCTGAGATTTTAACCATTTGGGTTCATGACTGATCGACAACATGAGATGGATGAAGGGTGAGGAGGGTTAGGAAATGTCGTGCAGCAACTGTGGATTAACACATATCTGAGTGTTGAGCTGCTCAAAGGTCACTGGTCACTGTTGTTTGATTCTCCTCTTCAGATCAACGCTCTCAGGGAGAAGTGACAAATGTGGGACAGTGAAGTACATACAGTACAGGCAGCTTACAGTGTATATCAACAGTGTGCATTAAGGTGGGATGAGCCAGAGTGATGAAGAAAATGAAGAAGTCGGTGAAGAGTTAAAATTTGTTAAAGGAGTCAAATGTGTTGAAGTATAATGTATATATGTTTTTTAGTAATATATAATATAATAATACTTACTATATTGTCATTAAACCTCAATGTGATTATTAAAGAAATGAGTTTTTGTGATGATGATATGATTCTAGTGCTCTAGTTGTTTGTCAAATTAAAACTGACATTAGTCCCATAAAGACTTTGGCTCCATTTCCATGTCTCGTTAATCTCTTTTCTTGTGCAACTAGTTCTTGTAATTAATGTGTCAGCCTAACTCAAGTGGTCCAAAACGGCACAATAAATGTCAATTATGACTGAAAAAAAACCTAAAATGGAACATTTCTGTAATCACTGCAGTTTAAAACCACTTGGTTTGGCTTCCTCTACGCCAGTGGTTCTCAAACTGTGGTACACGTACCACCAGTGGTACACGAGCGCAAGAGTATCGAGGCTCCATACATGACATTAACACAATGAGGCACTGTAACAACCCTCAGCTCAGGTAAACAATAATCTTTGGTGCTGCATTTGATTCGATTCCGATCAAATCAGACATGTTTGCAACATGTTTTTTTTCTAACAGCAATTTGTTTTGAGCCCCGTAAGAAGGAAACACACTACTTATTTTACAGAGATTTGTAAGCATTATTATAACTGGGCCATAGATCATAGAAAAAAAAGGCATATTGACTTGTGGAAATGCAAGTTTGACATAAAAACGTCTTTTTACTGCATGCCCTGAGGTCAAGGTTCTTATTTGCAGAAAAGCCAAACGCTGCAAAAATTGCACTTTTTCTGACAAACTGCAGGAGCGCTCAATTGAGCCCTTTTTTTCTTCGGGCTTTTTGACAAAATATGGTAATCATGCATTGAATGAGACTGACTGGAAAATCAAACAGAAAAGCCACTGTGCTGTGTGAATGTCAAAGGAAGAATAAGAAGTGTCCCAGGAGGAGCTGCTTTATCTCCAGACATGGCAGGCCCCTTTTCTGGGTTTGCTGTTTCTCATGTCCTGATATTTAAATAGGCATTTGTATTCCTGTCCTGGGTTGGTCAACCTCTGCACTCGCTCCAATTATACTGTCTGCCCTCTTGGCTCAGAGAGTGTGTGTGTGTGTGTGTTTTAATTTTCATGCCTGAGTTGCAAGCAGGACAAAAGCACAGAACTGTGAAGAACCAACAGGGTGAACTGGCCTTCCCAAAATGCCAAGTCTATAATTTGCAAAATGGCAGCATAACAAAAAACAAAGACAAGAAAATGAGAAAGGAAACAAACTCAAGATGGGTGAAATGAGAGAAAATTGAGAAGGATGTGAGTTCAATTGTGGGCACATATAAAACACAGCAGGATGGCAATTACTTGGACAAGGTCATGTAAAAAACAAAAAAAACCATCATCGTCAGGAAACACACATACACACTGCAGATCTACCACACTGGCAGGTGTGTACACGTGTAACAGTGCAACCCATCCAAATACACAGCGAATAAGGGAAAACATAATCAAAGTGTCAGTCCCTATACTCTCATCCAAAGAATTCAGTAAAAAATCAATAGATGGTACGAACCGAGGCTGTGCAGGCCCGGGAACAAATCTTGGTTTTTTAATAATGTATAATGATAGTCTTTCTCCAGCAGAGGGTTTGTGCTCCCCTCTCTGAAGTGTGAAGTCAAAGGCAGTGATGAATCTCTTGCATCTCTATAAAATTACCCTCTGCAATGGGGATGCTGCCTTCTATTTTATTATTATTATTATATTATTATTATTTAACGGTATCTTCATCCCTGTGAAGGAACAAGATAGAGAAGTAGAGAATGAATGGAGAGTCAAACTCAAGGCCCTCAAGCCGAATGAGGCCCGCAACATTCACTCTGTATGGCCAACAGGATCCAACAGGAGAATTTAATTGGATTAAAATAAAGACTATGATCCTTCAGAGATAAGCAGCACCAACTCATCAACTTCACCCTAAACCTGATTCATATAGTTTTAACACAATTTGAAACTCACAGTGTGAGTCTTTGCAACACACAGGTTGCTGCAGTTCCTCTGGGTCTTGAACCCAGGACCTTCTGTGTGTAAGGCAGGTGTGATATCCATACACTATGGAAACAACCAAAAACCCTTGTGTGAACAGCAGATCTGCTGTATCACGCTGCCCAACGGGAGGCGTCAAGTAAGTGGTTCCTCTGGGACTCGAACCCAGAACCTTCTGCTTGTAAGGCAGGTGTGATAAGTGCTACACTATGGAAGCTCATTTTTAACATGACAGTTCAGACCAGGTAAGGAATGTGTCTTAACCTGGCAACTGAAAAGTATTTTTTATTACACATATGTACAACGTACGTGTTTGTACGTTCTGGAGTAGTTCCCAGTTATAACCATCTGAGGGCAACCTTTTTGCTGCTGCGGCCCTGTGGCGACGCCTCCGCAGTAGACTAATGATGAACTTTACAGTAATGCAATAATCTGTCAGCTAGTACGACAGACGAACCAGGTGGTCATGTGACGCATCCACATGGTGGCTGAGCTGCAATCACTGCTCCACTGAGGTGGTCATAAAGCTACAGCCTGCAGCATTGGTGTTCAAAATGGCTGTATATAAAATGACGACATGCTGAGAATAGTAGTTAAGTTGTATGACGATATTTATTCATATTTAGATAAAATCATAAAGATGTTAAGACCCCCCCCAAAACTGTTATTTTCCTCTCTTTAGGGGGGCCCTGTCCCTGTAATTGGAACTATGCATCTCTGTCCCTGGCTGCTCTGCTAACTCCCCAAACTCAGCCTGGGGTTGGCCATGGGCGTGGGACATGATGGAGGTCACGGATACAGTACATCCTATGCAGATCTCTTGGATCTGTGTAAGAATATCCTCCCTGTGGGGGGAACACACCACGTCTAACACACACACACACACGCTCTGCACCAAGTTGGTGGAGATGTCATTTAGTAATGAGGATAATTATCCTTAAATCAAACAGAGAGTCTAACACAGCGCTGACGCTGACGATCACAGGAGTGACTGGGACGATGATGAGCTTGAAAATACGGTGGGCGTTCCAACACTACAATCCCAGTCTTCTATAATGCCTTTTTATGACCGACTACAAGCTGTACTCATTGTCCGTGATAGGCGCAGTATTTATATAATGGGTACTTCTACTGTACTTCTCAACCCTCTGATGCCTCAGTGAGTCAGGTGTTACATTTTTGGCCTTGATGCTTTCGTGTCCATTCCAGTTCTGGCAGCTGTTTTATGACTCATTACACCATCGTTGGCTTTCACACTCGTTACAGCGGTGCTGCTGATTGGCCGACGGTGATGCCGTCTCAATAAGCTACACGGCTGTGTTTGTTGAACGGTTTGTAATTATCCGTAAGCCCCCCCCCTCCCCCCGGGCGTGGCTCCTGGCCACATCTGCAGGCATGAGCTGCTATTCACATCCATGAACGTGTCATTCTGGAGATGGAAATATTTACTTTTAATAGAAGAAATAATGTGCAAGAAAAAAGGAGACGCAGTAGAAGAAAAGAAGGGTGAGCTCAT